GTTCGTGTTAATTCTTTCTAAACAAAAAGGGTAAATCTTATTAACAAATCTTTGCATAATATTTCGAAATACGTATGAGCAATATACGCGAGAAAATTTATTTCTTGCTATATATTACATTATTCTCCAATAAAAATTATTTTCAAAATTTACAATTTTTTTATAGGAGCATCTTTAAATTTTTGATCTTTATTCAAAATGTAACTAATTTTGGACAATATATTAAAATCACTTATTACTTCTGCAATACAGTTTAAAATTTATATATAACCATAAAAATTTACGTTATAAATAAATATAAATATATAACTAATAATTATATAAATAAAATTCGTGTTTCATCTTTTGCTTGAAATTACTCTATATGCCTAATCAATTAGGTATTTATTAAAAAGTATACACTTACGTAAAACATATTTGACGAACAAAATATCTGCAATATTTTCAAACAATTTTAACGCAACTACGTGTAAAATAAATATTTCAATATAATCATAATTGTAATTATAATATAATTTTGTGTAACGATATTACATTATTCTCCAATAAAAATTATTTTCAAAATTTACAATTTTTTTATAGGAGCATCTTTAAATTTTTGATCTTTATTCAAAATGTAACTAATTTTGGACAATATATTAAAATCACTTATTACTTCTGCAATACAGTTTAAAATTTATATATAACCATACAAAATTACGTTATAAATAAATATAAATATATAATTAATAATTATATAAATAAAATTCGTGTTTCACCTTTTGCTTGCAATTACTCTATATGCCTAACCAATTAGGTATTTATTAAAAAGTATACACTTACGTAAAACATATTTGACGAACAAAATATCTGCAATATTTTCAAACAATTTTAACGCAACTACGTGTAAAATAAATATTTCAATATAATCATAATTGTAATTATAATATAATTTTGTGTAACGATATTACATTATTGTCCAATAAAAATTATTTTCTAAATTCTCTATTTAGATTCAGGAATTTTACTCATTTCCCGTGAAAATATACATTCGCATAATCCGCGGATTAACAAGAACGTTCGTCGAGACGAGTTCAACGTGGAACAATAATTTATTCCGTTTCATGGAATATCGCGAGACCATGAAAAACTGGTCAGTCAGGCGAACACATGTCACGCACCTTTGGTCAGCTAAAACCTACTTGACCAAACTACTAACGCAAACCAGACTACTGGAGGTTTACAAAAATTCTGCTTCTATGAAAAAGTTTCCGTTAACGTTCAGCAACTCGTGTTGACAGAGCGCGTGCACGAAGAACAGGTAACAGCCGAGGAATCAGTTTAGCACGTGTCTTCAGAAAATCAGAAGAACCTTCGCACGTTGGCGAAGAGATACCATGCTCCGTGGATTTACTTCAACCTTTGCCGTGAAAATATTTCGATGCACAGTTCGCGAAAGGTGTCTTTAGCTATTAAGGAAAAAGTAGACACGATGCTTTTACGTACTGATGAATATTTATTATACCCAGAAGTTAGCCAAGGATTTTATGAATGACGCTTCAACACCGAGACTAGTATAGCAATTTAAAGATGACTTCACCATTTTCTTTATTTATTGCGCTTAGTTTGAATTCTGATATAAGCAACGATAAGCAAATGTTATTTCGAAAAAGAATAGCTTTTGTGGTACTAGACAATGTATCCAATCGCGTGATTCTAATTCATCGTTAAGACCTTGAAATGCTATGGCTGTCATAATCATAATCACCGGGTGACTACTGATGCCGAGATTAATAATAAGTATTTGTTTAAATAAATAATAATATTCGTAAAATTCTTAACATCGTCACTGATATTACAATGATGCAAAGAAACTAATGCATAATAAAATATATTTTATGCAGTTCTATGTATTGTATAATATACATATATACAGTGAATGGAATTTGCATAGGGATCATTTTTTAATGAAAACGAAAAATGCTTCGTTAATAAAGTTAAAAATAAATTGAAGATACGAAAAAATAGCTCAGAGTAATAAATTAATATTATAAACAGAAAAAGCTACTTTATTTTTATATCTCTTGATACTGTCTAAATCGTATAGTTCATCTTCTGAGAAAATATATAAACCTTACATATTCTTGATTTTTTAAAAATCAAAGTTCGTCTTTAAAAAAATGGGGTTTTGGTTTTAAAAAATTTTGAAACCAAAATTTTGGATTAAAACTGAAACCAAACATTTGGATTTAAAAAATTAAGTTGACTGTCGAAGACTATGCTGAATGACCATAATCTAATGTTAAAAGAAGATCATTATCAAATGTATCTTTTGGAAATGTATTCTTTGAAATAACTATGATATAAAATATTTAAATATTCTTTAACAGTTTAGTTGCCGAGATACTTCGTTGTGTGAAATCAAATGGGACACCCTGTATACTATTATATTTCTACTTCTAAGTATATTATACAAAATTTCCGCATATTGCAATGCGTTATGCTAAAACAAAAAATTCATTCCAATATCGTAGGCGAGTTGTATAAAATTCATTTGGTTAGGTTAGCTTAGGTATATATAAATATTAGGTATATATAGGTTAGGTTAGATATATGCTAGCTAAATATTAGACTTCAGTTAGGCCAAATGAATATTGGGAAGGATTAAATTAAATTAATTTAATCTTTCATTAATTGAAAAGATTCATTCCAACATCGTAGGCGAGTTATATAAAATTCATTTGATTAGGTTAGGTTAGGTATATATAAGTATTAGGTATATATAGGTATATATATAGGTTAGGTTAGATATATGCTAGCTAAATATTAGACTTCAGTTAGGCCAAATGAATATTGGGAAGGATTAAATTAAATTAATTTAATCTTTCATTAATTAAAAAGATTCATTCCAACATCGTAGGCGAATTATATAAAATTCATTTGATACTTCTTGTATTAAAGATTGCTATATTAGTTACTATATTAAATTTCGCAGTATTAGTGGCAACGAAATCATTAAAATAGTCAATTGTCTAACGTATTTTACTGTAAACATAACAAAAAAATATGAGCTTAAAGTAATATTTATGAAGTTACTGCTTATAAATTACTGTTAATATTATGAATATAATATAATAATACTATGAATAGTTACTGTTAATATTACGAAGTGATACTTTTGAAAGTTACTGCTTATGAAAACGTGATAAGATTTTATATTATACGTAATAAAAAGAAATTATTTTTATTTTTGGAAACCATTGAATTCGTCTCAATAAACATTACTATAATATAAATAAAACTATTACGATTAGCGTTCTATTAAAAAAGAAAAAGACTCGATTTCAAAGTTTTCCTCATTGCTCTATCTGTGAAGAAACTATTTACGTGACCATTTATAATATATTTTGTACGAATGATAAAATATTTAAATTACCACCTTGTTTATGTATATCTCGAAAGTCACTCGATATTTCAAAAATTTAAGTTACTTATATAATTTTGAACACAAATAGTTTAATACCATATAAGAAAAGAAAAAATTATGTTAGCTTGTTATATGAAAGACGACTGTGATAGAAAAATATATATGTAGTTGTAATTTTACACTACTATATAATACTGTATAAAACATGATGCTATATACGAGCCGTTCACTGCACAAATCGATTAACTCCATTTTTTGAAAAATCTTAAATTTAAGTGTCAAAGCACTTGGTATAGTCATAACTTTTTATATTTAAGATTTTTCAAAAAGTGGAGTTAATCGATTTGTGCAGTGAACAGCTCATATTTCATCGGTAATTTTACTCCTGTGCTATAATATTGTTCAATAAATATTGAATATATTCATTTAAATATTATATCCACGACTAACAGTAACATGTACAACTGACTCAAAGCGAGCTGAATTAAATCATATAATTGAAACATAAATAAAAAATTTGAAAAAGAAAGGAAGCTAATGACGAACGTTACCTATAATGTGATTTGATGACATATTGAATAAGTAGTATGAAAAGAAAAAGCTTTGTCTGCTGATCTAAGGGAGAAGAAATCAGTATTTCCAAATAAATAATCAAATATTACACGTTTCAAAAATTTTCAAAGCACATCTATTATAGTAACTAAATTTTTGCAACACTAAATTTTTGAAAATCGTTGATTTGGGGTATAGTATTTGTTCTTCGATTTCGAACTCAGAAAAAGGACAGCTCATATACAACATCATGTAGAATGTACTATTATATAGAATATAGTATTATACATAACACGATATACAGAATATATTACTATATATAATATAGAATATACTATACTATAACATACTATGTAGACTATAGTATATTCAATATAAGGTGTTATATTTTACTATATATAGTCACGTTTTATTATATCCTAATTATAGATTAATTATTCCATAAATATATTATAATATAGTATTATACATAACACGATATACAGAATATATTACTATATATAATATAGAATATGCTATACTATAACATACTATGTAGACTATAGTATATTCAATATAGGGTGTTATATTTTACTATATACAGTCACGTTTTATTACATCCTAATTATAGATTAATTATTCCATAGATATATTATAACTATATCATATAACTATAGTTACATGAATATATATATATCCAAACATGCACCTATTGGCAAAAGTTCAGAAACATAGTAATCGTTTGCGAATTTTCAACAATTCCTTGTCTCCTGTGATATCAAAATAGATTAAAGATATATTGAAATGAAACATAGGCTGAAGTCATCGTCAACATCGATAAAAAGTAACATCCATTTCGAATATTTTAAATAAAGCCCATTTTCAATTTCAATCTACGCATCTCACGAACACGAGATGAAAAATACAGGAAACTGGACAAACCGTTAACTCGTTCCTTAATTTTGATCAGTAAATGATAATTGTTAATAAATAAATTAATAAATGCATTTTCATACATTGCACTCGCTTAGCCTCGTATTAGCAAGAGTTTCATGGAACCTACCTTAGGAAACACGATGTCGAGCTGGTCCAGTACCGTGTCAGAGCCAGCCTGCCCCACCGATTGGGCAAGATTGAGGAAAGCGCCACCAAGGAACCAATCCGTGAGATAAATTTGCGACAAGACGTTGATGAAGTTGAGAACCTCGCAAAGGCCCAAGTAATACGCCCATGGCCGGTTCAAGTGGATACGGTTTATGAAAGCCTGTCGAATCTGAACGATTTTCTCGTCGCACTCAAGCTTCGATGGAACGGTCACACCGTTCTGGGTCTGCAAAGGCGTCTCGCGGAGACCTAACGACGCCAAATGTAGTCCAGATACCAATGCCTTCAAACGACCACCTGGTACAACAAATTTTATATATATACAGGGTGTCCCAGCAACGTTAGTACAACCGGGAAGGGGGTAATTCTACGTGAAAAAACAAATCAAAAATAAAAAGTAAAAGATTTTTGTTCGAAACTTCATTCTTGAGAAAATCGACTTTGAATAGCTATTATACTTTTATAGCTATAGCTATTTGAATACGCTCACCGAGTAAGCGTGTATTTAGCTGTGGTTTAGATGTATGGACCATCAACATACCAGCATCGGTGATACAAGCGAGGAGGGGTTGATTCTACGTGAAAAAACAAATCGAAAATAAGAAATAAAAGTTTTTCGTTCGAAGCTTCGTTATCGAGAAAATTGACTTTGAATATTCAGCGAGTAAACGTACACTTAGCTATGGCTGAGATGCATGGACCATCGGTATATACCAGCGTACCCAGCGAAAATTCAAAGTCGATTTTCTCCACAACGAAGCTTCGAACGAAAAAATTTTATTCTTCATTTTTGATTTGCTTTTTCGTCTAGAATCACCCTCTTCCCGATTGTATCGTTATTGAGACAACCTGTATATATATTTTTATAATTTTATCGTCTTCTATGTTCGATTTAATATCTTGTGCCTCCCATTTCTTTCGTTCATGAGGGAAAAGAAATTATGATTAGTTATTGTTGATTTTTAGTTTAATATGGAAGGTTATAATGGTAGTAATGATTGTTATAAATCTTTTAATGTCAGTATCGTAATATAGTAACGAAATAAAAATATAGGAGTAAGTTCTGATAAAATAAAATATAATGGAGGTTGAAAAGTTCGAAATTTAGTAAAATTAAGGATATCTTAAAATTAATAGAATTAACAATTTTTAAGTATATTTAAAAAAAATTTTAATAAATAGACTGAGTGAGTGAAGTAAAAAATAAAATGGAATAAAATAGAAGCATTTTTTTGAAGTTAAAAAGTTTAAGAATGAAATAAAATTAAATGAAACGTGTTTGAATATTTAAGTATATTGAAGTATTATAACTTTAAGAATCATACGATGTCATATGGAATAAAACGAAGTCTTTTGGCAAAATTTGAACCAACGTTAATAAATCGGTATCACTGTTTACCGATTTAATTACAAAACGAATGCGAAATAATTGAACCAAACTCGTAGTTTTAGTTTACTTTTCAGAGTTATTTCAATGCGATCGTATCAGAAACAAAATATTAAAATGTTATAAAATTACAATGTTTAAAAAATTTATTTCTAATAATTTCACAGTCGAAAGAATCGAAACGAAAATTTAATATTTAATATTTTATTACTAATTTTTATTGCTATTTAATATTTCTTTCATTTATCACTTTATTTTATATATTTATTTATTTATTTATATGCATAAATGCAAAGTGCTAACAATATTGAATAAAAATTTCTTATGATGTTTACACGATAAATAACCATATGATTTTATAACTAGATATAATTCATTTGCTATATTATTTTATTGTATTAGGAATATTTTTTCATT